GTCTAGTCTATAGTCTAGTCTATAGTCTAGTCTATAGTCTAGTCTATAGTCTAGTCTATAGTCAGTCTATAGTCTAGTCTAGTCCTAGTCTATAGTCTAGTCTATAGTCTAGTCTATAGTCTAGTCTATAGTCTAGTCTATAGTCTAGTCTAAGTCTAGTCTATAGTCTAGTCTATAGTCTAGTCTATAGTCTAGTCTATAGTCTAGTCAATAGTCTAGTCTATAGTCTAGTCTATAGTCTAGTCTATAGTCTAGTCTATAGTCTAGTCTATAGTCTAGTCTATAGTCTAGTCTATAGTCTAGTCTATAGTCTAGTCTATATTAGTCTATGTCTAGTCTAGAGTCTAGTCTATAGTCTAGTCTATAGTCTAGTCTATAGTCTAGTCTATAGTCTAGTCTATAGTCTAGTCTATAGTCTAGTCTATAGTCTAGTCTATAGTCTAGTCTATAGTCTAGTCTAGTCTATAGTCTAGTCTATAGTCTAGTCTATAGTATCTATAGTCTAGTCATAGTCTAGTCTATAGTCTAGTCTATAGTCTAGTCTATAGACTAGTCTATAGTCTAGTCTATAGTCTAGTCTATAGTCTAGTCTATAGTCTAGTCTATAGTCTAGTCTAGTCTAGTCTATAGTCTAGTCTATAGTCTAGTCTAGTCTAGTCTATAGTCTAGTCTATAGTCTAGTCTATAGTCTAGTCTATAGTCTAGTCTATAGTCTAGTCTATAGTCTAGTCTATAGTCTAGTCTATAGTCTAGTCTATAGTCTAGTCTATAGTCTAGTCTATAGTCTAGTCTATAGTCTAGTCTATAGTCTAGTCTATAGTCTAGTCTATAGTCTAGTCTATAGTCTAGTCTATAGTCTAGTCTATAGTCTAGTCTATAGTCTAGTCTATAGTCTAGTCTATAGTCTAGTCTATAGTCTAGTCTATAGTCTAGTCTATAGTCTAGTCTATAGTCTAGTCTATAGTCTAGTCTATAGTCTAGTCTATAGTCTAGTCTATAGTCTAGTCTATAGTCTAGTCTATAGTCTAGTCTATAGTCTAGTCTATAGTCTAGTCTATAGTCTAGTCTATAGTCTAGTCTATAGTCTAGTCTATAGTCTAGTCTATAGTCTAGTCTATAGTCTAGTCTATAGTCTAGTCTATAGTCTAGTCTATAGTCTAGTCTATAGTTTAGTCTACGTTTTAGTTTATAGTTTAACGGAAAATCAGTTTAGTACTTTAAAATCTAAAGTAGGAATGAGGTTATAAACAGGACACCATTTTTCATAGAAAAGTTCGGGTAGTTATAAATCCGTAATAAAATCAGTGTAATATTAGCTCTAAATAAAAGCTCGATAAGACTTCTTAAGGCTAGCAAAACTTGAAATTGTTTGAGTGAAGAGAATTACGTCCTAATGCAGAAGTTTATGTGTGAATGTCCTGCTCTAACCTAGTATCTTCTGCTTCTGTTAAAGCTATTCTTCTGCACCAACATTATAATGTGAAATAACTTCGTGTTGAAGCTTTAAAAGTTGAACTTAAATAAACACTAGTTAAATTAAATAATTTATGACTTTCAAACATTTTAATAAACCACTATATTTTGGGTAAATATCCAACTTTGTAATAACAAAGTTTCTGCAACTTAATAGAAGTAAAGCATATGTATGTATGTATATATGTATGTATGTTTAGAACACATCAATATAAGAATTATCTGCTTAAAAATTAACTACATTAAAAAAATAAAAGTATTTTTCTCACTTCATTTATAACATGTTAATGGAAACTAACAATAACCAGACATGTCCATCCATCCATCCACACGTGGTAACTTGAAACCAGTAATAAATAAGCACTTTTAAGTGACATGTCAGCACTTTTTAAAATGTTGTAGTATGAATAAGCAAACAAACTTTTATAGTACAAATAAAAATCATTATAAAATGTACAAATTTAAAATTTACTATTAAAACACAACATTATTAACAACTTAAAAATAAGACTCCACAAACACTTTTAAAATTTAATTCAATCAACAGCAAAAACCACCACCACCGCCAAGTCAGCCCACCTTCATCAAATGCCATAACTCTAATGGAATGAACATCCTATAAATTTTTACAGGTATTCAATAATTTATAAAATAATAAAAAAACAACAACAACAGCAACAGTAAACAAACGTATGGTCATATAAAAATTGGAAATATCTATAAAAATCATATAAATGGTGAATGGCTCTGGCGGTAGTGGTGGGTTTTTCGTAAAAGGCCAGAGTAGGTATGAATGATATGAATGAATTTTTATTTTTTTAAATCAATTTTCAACTTTTATTGTCATGTGTTAAATTTATATTGGCAATAAATTGAAAGTCCAATATTTGAGCATGTTAGTACATATAGTAAGACCATAATATATTTGTAATGTTAAGACCAGGCAGTAAGCAGTATGTATGCTTACATATATAAAGTCCTATGATTTTATATGAAGAGCATGATTTTACACACTTTTATGTATTGGATGTATGTATCGATGTGTATGTACATAAGTGTAGCCATTATGCTGTCCTTATTTGTTTCCAAAAAAGGAAGTGATTGAGAAATTTGTAATAAAAAATCAAATATATCGACTACTAGAACCATTAAATTTGTAATGAAGTGTGAAATCACTCGAACTCTGTCGTCATGATTTTGACCACTTAATGGGAACCATTTATTTATTGTGATACTGCCAACTAGATAACAGATAATAAAATTTTTTTTCTTCTTCGAAAGCAATTTACAGTATTTTGTTAATGTTGTTTATTGGAGTTAACATAAAAAACAAATATTACATTAATTTAAAGAAAGAAGTTTCTTAAAAGAACATAACAATTATGTATTTTAATATATATAAATTAAATATTACAACAAAATGGAGATTATGGAGCCCTTGAAGCCCACAAAAAATAGGATATAGCATGGTTTTTCAGAATTTATGTCTTATCATCGATATTTATGAACCGATTTAGCTGGTTTCGAATAGCGAAATTTACAAAAACATGTATTATTGATTGATTTACGTGGTAGTTCACTGCACGCGAACTGTCAAGTAGAGTCGAAGAGAATCCGTTTTGACCGAACCACTCCACTCGTCAGATATAGTATTTATATTATTAGATCCAGCCTGTAACTGTGAGAAATCTTGGGATATCATTAAGCTTAGACCCAGATATCTCACCAAGGTTAGATATGAAGTAACTGCCAAGAAAGCAGTTTCTCTTTACAGCCAGAGCAGATGGAAGACCGTTTCTTCCTTTTCCCTGTTTTGCAACTGCGACAGTGTTCGTTGAAGGGAAGCCCAAGCCGACTTGCATGTCTGTCTATCACCCAGTGTCCTGTTATTACTGCTATCAACCTCGATATGTCCCGCCTACTTCGGAGGGCCACAATAACTTGGCTTACATGTGTCTAGGTTATTCCACCTATTTTCAAACTTTGAAGAAAGAATCTAAGGATATTGATCTTGATAAATCCTAACATAGTTGCTACTGAAACGGCTTGGAAATATCAAGAGTAGATCCCGTTCTGGCAAGCTCATCTGCCTGTTCATTACCATAGTAGTCCCTATGCGCAGGGACAGATAGGCGACCCAGTCTTGACAAATCCTTCTTGTATTGTCTAACTAATAGCAGTTATGTGAGAGAAGTGATGCTTGACTGTGGACAAAGATTCCAATGTTGCCGCCGAATAAACATGTATTATAGAATGATACAAGATTTGTAAGCCGAAGATATGGAAGAACTTTATAAAAGTGGCATCTTCAAATGTGAGCTCTTATAAAATTCTCTGCTTTTTATTAGCAACACGTTGCAGTAATTGCAATATCAAGTAATTATACAAAAATTACTAAAACACCCTACAAACTACCAAATTAATCAACTAAAACACCAAAAAAGTTTCGCCATTTTAAGCTTTCAAATTATCTTAAAATAAAACTGAACTACATTAGATAACAAATAAGTGAAAAAGTAAATAAACTAAAAAAAAGTTTAATTACACTCTTGTCAAATGACATTGTTTCAAACTATTGTCTGGCAGTAAAAACTAATTTAATGGCAAACATTTTATGATTCTCATAACAGTTCATCAACCACAAAATTGTGAAAGATACACCCCAAAATAATGAAGATGAAGAAGAAAAACTAACGAATGAAACACAAAACATTAAAAGGATGTAAAACTAATGACAAGCATTTAGGCAGGTGTATTAAGTATGTACGTGCCTTAGTATTAAGTATTAAATAAACAAAAGTACATGAATACATACATACACACATATGTCAATAGAACTAAGATGAAAAGAAAAATAAAATAAAATTAACCTTAATCACTTTAACTTGAATTAAATGTAATCAAACCGAAAATGTTTGATACCAAAAATGTACTATGTATTTGTGTTTGTATCTTGTATCTAAAATCATCACATTATTGTTGTTTCGTTTATGTATATGTTTGTTTTAATGAAGAAATACATACATTTGTATGTACATCATGTCAATGACATTTATTGAACATAAATGTAATTGTTTTTGCAATACAAGTAGACGATTATTTATAAAACAATTTAATAAATGATATAGAAGGAAGATATAGAATGTGAACACATCACTTGTATAAACAGTTCAAACAGTCTATATAACAACCATTGAAGGTAAACAAGTGACTAGAACTAGTTACCTAACTAATTACTTGTCAATAGAGAATGCCTAAAAATGTTCACAAGTATGACTTACCAACATTCAACAGCAATAATTTATTTTGCGAAAAGTTGTTCTTGTAATTTTTTTTATTAATTAATCACATTTATTTAATGAGTTAAATTCGACATAAGTAAAAGTTATTTACAAAAGGTTTTTTTCTTAATAAATTTACAAACCAGCCAAAAATATTTTTTTGTAAATTTCTATAAATTATTTTTTAAATTTTTGTTGCAGCATTAATTTTTTTTAAATTTTTTGTAGCTTTCAATTTTTTGCTAATTTTTTTTTTTTTGTTTAACATAGTAGTGTGTGTGTACGCATAACAATCATAAACTTCTTACGTTTGAATTCCTAATATAAACATTATCCTTTTTACCAGTAGCATCATCATAATCGTCATCATTGTTCTCGTAAGCATGTTGGTTATATAGAAGAAGGAAGGAGTTTGAAAATATTTTAATGTTTCACATAATCATTTGTATCGATTATTGTGCCAGCGGCACCAAGTTCTTCAAACAATTCATTTGATTGATGATTCCTGCCATATGGAATGTTGTTCATGTTACTGTTGCTATTGCTGCTTTGACTGGAGGATGAGGCGGCGGGATTTAACGCCAAAGCTGCCGCAGTTGTGTGTAAAAGTAAAGGATTTCTAACAAAACGTTGAAGTTGTGAAAGACATCTTAAAATAAAAAGCAATTAATAAATTTATTATTAATTAACTGTGTATATAAAATAAGTATTTTGTTAATTTATCAGATTTAATTTACCTTTCCAATCTTCTTTCATTGGCTTCCTGCACCTCAAACAACTCGGACATACCATCATCTTCTTTATTGTGCAAGAGATTATTTAATGTTGTGGCCGCACCAGCGCGTTTGCCATTAGTCCAGCCTCTGGAATATTGAAATGTTTGACCCATACATGCCATGGAGAACAAGAAAATTAACAAAGGCAAAATCACAATACGCAACATGTTGGTTGTAGGGTTTTACGTTCAAGCTGTAAAGAAATTTCAAAAAATACCTTTTAAAGAATGGAAATAAAAAAAAAAAGAATCTTATTTTTGTATTCAATATTTTTTTATTTTATTCTTTTCTAATTGTTTTTTCAATTCAAAATTGACTTTGGTGAACAGAGCAAACATTTTGCTATATAGGGGATTTATATTACTTTAGTATGGCATCTTCATGTATGCGGGTTTGTGTCTAGGATATTTCCCTGTAGTAGAGTTAAAAACCAATAATGAGGGATTTTTACTTAGGCAAACGGAAGTCTTATATTTCAGTTAATTGGTAATTTAAGAGATTTGTTTGTTCGAAGTGATAAATAAAAACTAATCAAAATATAGAACTGAACTAGAACTGAACTAGAACTGAACTAGAACTGAACTAGAACTGAACTAGAACTGAACTAGAACTGAACTAGAACTGAACTAGAACTGAACTAGAACTGAACTAGAACTGAACTAGAACTGAACTAGAACTGAACTAGAACTGAACTAGAACTGAACTAGAACTGAACTAGAACTGAACTAGAACTGAACTAGAACTGAACTAGAACTGAACTAGAACTGAACTAGAACTGAACTAGAACTGAACTAGAACTGAACTAGAACTGAACTAGAACTGAACTAGAACTGAACTAGAACTGAACTAGAACTGAACTAGAACTGAACTAGAACTGAACTAGAACTGAACTAGAACTGAACTAGAACTGAACTAGAACTGAACTAGAACTGAACTAACTGAACTAGAACTGAACTAGAACTGAACTAGAACTGAACTAGAACTGAACTAGAACTGAACTAGAACTGAACTAGAACTGAACTAGAACTGAACTAGAACTGAACTAGAACTGAACTAGAACTGAACTAGAACTGAACTAGAACTGAACTAGAACTGAACTAGAACTGAACTAGAACGGAACTAGAACTGAACTAGAACTGAACTAGAACTGACTAGAACTGAACTAGAACTGAACTAGAACTGAACTAGAACTGAACTAGAACTGAACTAGAACTGAACTAGAACTGAACTAGAACTGAACTAGAACTGAACTAGAACTGAACTAGAACTGAACTAGAACTGAACTAGAACTGAACTAGAACTGAACTAGAACTGAACTAGAACTGAACTAGAACTGAACTAGAACTGAACTAGAACTGAACTAGAACTGAACTAGAACTGAACTAGAACTGAACTAGAACTGAACTAGAACTGAACTAGAACTGAACTAGAACTGAACTAGAACTGAACTAGAACTGAACTAGAACTGAACTAGAACTGAACTAGAACTGAACTAGAACTGAACTAGAACTGAACTAGAACTGAACTAGAACTGAACTAGAACTGAACTAGAACTGAACTAGAACTGAACAGAACTGAACTAGAACTGAACTAGAACTGAACTAGAACTGAACTAGAACTGAACTAGAACTGAACTAGAACTGAACTAGAACTGAACTAGAACTGAACTAGAACTGAACTAGAACTGAACTAGAACTGAACTAGAACTGAACTAGAACTGAACTAGAACTGAACTAGAACTGAACTAGAACTGAACTAGAACTGAACTAGAACTGAACTAGAACTGAACTAGAACTGAACTAGAACTGAACTAGAACTGAACTAGAACTGAACTAGAACTGAACTAGAACTGAACTAGAACTGAACTAGAACTCAACTAGAACTCAACTAGAACTCAACTAGAACTCAACTAGAACTCAACTAAAACTCAACTAGAACTGAACTAGAACTGAACTAGAACTGAACTAGAACTGAACTAGAACTGAACTAGAACTGAACTAGATCTGAACTAGAACTGAACTAGTATTATTAAGTTTTGCATAAACTCCACTCATGTTTAAATTTTTATTTTTAAAATTTGTCTTCAAGCACTTAGTTTTGTAACTTCAATTAATGAAATTGTTGCTATTTCATTTTTAAATTCACTTTATAAATGTTTTATAAGCACTTACACTAAATAAATTACTTTCAAATTTGTTTTCAAACTATTTTTGAGTTCCTTGTTTGTATTTAGAATACGAAATGTAAAATAAAACTGAATGCTGTTCGAAGATTTGTCTGTGGCTTTTATAGTTGTTCTGTTGAAAGGACCATATAAGATAAATCCACATAAAAAAAGAACATCTTCTAAGAGCAATTATGTTTAGCCAAAAAAAGAACTAAACAAACACACAGAGAGAAATTGGTTGTTAAAATAGGAAAAGATTAAAATAATAAAGTTCTGAAGTTAGACTAAAGTCAAATAATTAAACTATCTATTATAATAAAATTTTAACTAAACTGAGGATTTTTAAAAATTCTTTAGGTTTATTAATATAGTATAAATATGTTTTGGATGATTAGGTAGTTTGTGACAAGCTTTCAAACAAAGTTTAACTAAATAGTTAATGTAATTATTTAACTGTAGTTTAAAGTTAAGATTATGTTACTGAAATAACAGTTATAAATGTATTTATTCAATTATTTTCATTTTATTTTATTTCGTTTCTAAATTCCTTTAAAAATTTTCTCTGTGTGACTTATTTTTACCCCTTTCTCTGTTCTATGAGTTGATTAAATGTTATTAGCTGGCAATTGTTTTTAGCAACTTTACCGAAAAGTAATATTTAAATGTGTGTTCAAAAAAAAACTCCTTCCAACAAGTGAATAGTAAGTAAGTAGTAAGTCTTCCAACCTACTCATATGGCATGTGCGCGTTTGAATGAACAAATTGAATGCATTTGTTGATTAAAAAAAATTATCACTTCTACTTGTACGAAGGGGTTAAAAACTAAAGCCAACACTTCCACATTCAAATTAACAACCTTTTCTTTTTTATTTTTGGCTTTTTGACGCCTTAGCCAATTTGCCCTTAAGTAATTGTAGATTAACATGTGTAGAAAGTGTGCAGAAAATAAGGATTTGTGTTAAGGAATGTTGATTTAACAGGATTTTATGGTTACTTGAACAGTAAAACCTATTTTATAGAAATTCTAGAATTTCATTTGGTTTTACTTCTCATACTTCCAGATTTGTAGAAAAGTCTATGTAAATAATTTCATATAATCCATAACTTTTCTTAAACTTTTATTCTAAAATTCTATACATAACTAGTAATTTAAATTATCGAGACTCTACTGTTTATTCATCTGCGAGTAAATTTATTTATTAACGCAATTGTTTTCGATTCTTTTAGTGGTTTTACGAGTGGGTAGTAAGTAGGTTTTAAGAGCTAGTCAGTTAGATTAGAAGTTGCTGCAAGATCCGGATGTTTGATTCATTTCTTGTGCTAAAAATAGGAATTCTACTTTAAGAAATATTTATAATAATAAATAAGACATTATTAGTTTTAAGAAATTTTTAAATAGAAAATTCTTTAGTTGGTTTAGAAATCTGGAAAATTTTAAAGTTAAGACACAATATTAAACATTAATCGATTTTTTTAATAAAAATGGGCTAATATTATGTGTCACTGGACGATTTCCACGATAATCCCTCAAAGATTTCTTTTGGCTCAAGAACTGGTTAAAAGTATTTCACTTTCAAAAAACACTTTGAATAAAAGAGTTCAATTATAAATATCTTTAACGAGATACATAAGTGTATCACAGACATTAAATTCTGTTCCACACCCTCCATTAATATGCACAATATCAGTTGCAGACCTGGAAGTAGAACGACGTTATGTCTATAGGTAAGAACAAATATTAAAGGAGTCGAAACTAGAGGCCACATCTTTTAAGGCTTAAGGCTTAAAAGGCTTTGTGTCGGATTCGTCGTCTCTATAGGATCAATCGAAACTTACAATATTTAAATTAATTAACCACAGGTGTAAACCAAAAGTTCTTGACAACTATCACAAGATTCCAAACAAATCGAGAAAAGGAAAACCAGATCCAGTAACAGGATTTTATTGGATAGTGAACCTAACCAACCTAACAACATATTATGTTTTCCAAATGCTGCGTGTTTGGACTCAGATGATCAACGATTTTAAAGATTACAACAAATAAACTAGTGTGGAGTTTGGGTTATTTGGAAAATCGGCTCTAAAAAGGTGCTACAAAACCCAGTAGAATTAAAGATAGAAAACAAGTAAGAGTTTTATATTCGGCTTTGCAGAAAAACAAGTATGTATTATGGAAAACAAGTAAGTATTATATGTGCCGAATCTTATATATCCTTCACCATAGTGTGTTTTAGAAAAAATTAAAAAAATGAAGAGTAATTAAATTTTTAAGAATTTAATGTTAATATTTGTACCGTGCACTACTATAGTGAGGAGGATATTATGCGTTTGTGCTGATGTTTGTAACACCCAAAACTATTGGTCCTACACCCACCTTAAAATATACCAATAAGCTCAGAATCACTTTCTGAGTCGATTTACCTATGTCTGTGTGTCCATGTAAACCTTGTGCGTACTCTACAGGTAGCAATTTTCAAGATAATTTGATGAAATTTGATACATACTCTTCTTATGAGGAGAAGACGAAGCCTATTGAAATGGTTTAAGCTCATAAATATTTTAAATGTTCTTGTATCAATTCAAAAATCGGCAAAACTTAGTTTTATATAAGTCTTAATGATACTGCTGATTTTCGTAATGATCGGGCCTCATTTGACCCTATCCACCATACAAAGTCCCTTTCAGAAAATTACTTGATGGTCAAAATTCACTTATAAACACTAATATCATGATGATATTCTTCATAAATAACTAATGTAGACGTAAATCCCTCTACCAAAATTTATAAGGGTAGGGCCATATTAACTCCATACCCCCATAGACGTAAATCCCTTATTTAGAAAATCCATTTTATGTCAACAAATTGTTAAAATATTTTTGAATTAAGATTAAAATTAAATACTTTATTATTAAAAAAATAATCAACATTTTTAACATAATCACTGCTGTAGGGTATCATATGGTCGGCCATACCCGACTATAAAATCTTACTTGTTTACATTTTTTTCCAATCCTGCACAATTTCCCATCCCTGACCTTGGCAATAACAAAATAATAACAACATTTCATATGTTACGTATTGTTCTAGCTCTGTTCTGAACAATATATACCATATAAAGCTGTATGTTGTTGTTGTTTTCTTGTGCCTGCCATCACAAAAATTCACATCTTTTACGAATTTTTTAGAGGTTGTCTCGGATTTTTGCTCATATCTCCGTTCTTTATGAACCAATTTTGCTGATTTTTAAAATTTTTTAAAAGCACGTCTGTCAGAATTATTGAAGATTTGGATCCCGGAGATAAAAAATTAGATTTAACCAACATGCAGATGGACAGACATGGCTTATTCGACTACGATATCTATAAGTATCCAGAATATATATACATACATATATATACATACATATGTATATACAGTATATGGTAAGAAAATTATATTATAGACGTTACAAACAGAAAGACAAACTTCCTTCTTACCCATAAGTAAGTTATTAGAGGTGAAAGGTCACCGAAATCAATTTAATTTAAATCGTAATTAGTTGTCTTTTTTAATCTTTTAGTGCAGTTCTAAGTTTTTTCTACTACTAGTGAATGCCCCTAATAACAACTTAAACATTTATTTACATTCCACGCCAGAAACAATTCAATAAAAATGCAACAAGTTGTTATGTTTAGAAACAAACGATCAAAACAAAACATTAGAAATGCAGTTAATGACATGCGCAATTAAACGATTTTCCTTTTAAAGAAAATTGAGAGAAAATTGTTTTCACAAAAATAGGAAAGAAAACAAACAAACGCAAATTGTCGGTGGCGAATGAAGTTATTTGACGGTAAAACTTACAACTGATAACAGGCAGAACGCAGTGACAAAAACAAAAGAAATAAAGTTGATTTATATAAAATCTAAAACTATAAACTAAATGGTAAGTAAAAAATTAATTTAAAATAGTTTAAATTACATTTAATATAATGATAAAAATATAAATTAATTAAACAGTATTTGTTGACAATTTAATTTATTAACAAGAAGCAAAAAAAAATTGTAGCTTACATTGGAAAAATCAATAATTTACCATATGTTGGTTTGTTTGTGCGTTTTTTTGCAATTATAATTGTATCTTGTTGACCGTCTGGTCTCAAAAATTTATTAAATAATTTAAACAAAAACTTGTTTTTATAAATTTTTACATTTTATAAATGTTTTTCTTTTAATTTCAGTGTTTTTAATTAAATGTAAACAATTTTTATCACCGGCAGCTGGTTTTATGATAAAATGGAAAATATGGGTCGTTTACGTAGGGTAAGTGTAGAATATGTTTTTTTTTTTTCTTTTTTTGCTTCAATTTCATTTAATTTCCGCTTTTTATTTGACCTTTTACCTTGAAATCATGTTTAAGCTAAAAACTTTTTATTTCAACAACGAAATAATAAATTAAGAAAATTTATTGAGTTCATATTAGTGAAATTTTTTTATTAATATTCTGATGCGTACAGGCAACGAAATGCAAGTGTTGGGAGTTATAACCCAGTGAACAATATATTTTCAAAATTGTTTTTATACTAAATTGTATATAAAAAAACAAGTTGATAACAATTCGGGTAATTCTGGTAAGTTGATCACATGCTGTAATAATTAGAATCCTTCTTCACTATGAACATTACATTTATTTGTTATATCAAGGCCTTTCGTTAATGAAGGTCAACCTAACTCTAAATAAATGTTAGATCTACAGAATTTAAACGACCCGATTGTTCAAAATAAATAAGATTTTTAAAAATTTGTCCCAAAATTGAGAAACAAAATGTATTTCACCAAAATCATATTAAGTTGTTCACTGGGTTTCTTATTCATTCTCTCCCCCAACTATTTACTGGCAGTCAAAACATTTAAAGTAATTGAAATTCCAAACACGATTGGCCCATTGTCAACAGACAAGTTTAAAAACCAACTAAACATTATAACACCGCTGACCACTTCTAGCGCTCCACCATCACTAACTAATCGGACCGTACGTACACTCTCCGCATTTACACACAGTTTGCTAAACAATTATTTAAAGCTTTTTTGTTTAGTTTATTGCTAA